TTCTTGTATAATAAATACACCATGAACATTGCTTTATAGCAAAGTCATGGGGGTGGAGAGCTGAGGCTTATTGGTTTGGCTGTTCTTGAAACTCTGTCCATTAATTCCTATTCCTCCTACCCAAGATACTCCAGTTGCCAGGTGTATTAGTTTTCTAAGTCTGCCATCACAAATTAGTACAAATGGTGGCTTAAAATAGCAGAAATATATCTACTCCTAGTTCTAGAAGCTAGAGGTCAGAAATTAAGGTTAGGAAGGGCCATCTCTCTCCCAAGGCTCTAGAAGAGAATTCCTCTTCATCTTTTCCAGCTTTTGATGTCTCCAGGTGTCCCTTGGCTTACATCAGGATACCTCCAATCTGCTCTACCTTCACATGTCCTTCTGCTCTGTGCCTCTGTGTCTTTCTTCACATATGGACACCAGATGAAGGGTGGCCCTAACCTAGTATCACCACATTTAGTCTGACCATCTATATCTGCAATTACTCTATCTCCAAATAAAGTCACATTCTAAAGTTCTAGGTAGACATGGATTTTATGAATGTAGCTCAATATTCCAGGAAGCAAAAGCATACTGTTTGAAATGGACCAATAATATGGTATGTTTTTATTTTTTCAATGATCTACAGGAGAAAGACATCTAGCAGAGTTCTAGCCTTTTGGGGCCTTTTCCCCCTGTGTCATGATTCAAACCCAGTCACCAATAAGCTCTGGGATGATCTTTCACTACCCTGGGGCTGGCCTGAGTTATAGGTCTAAAGTAGGTTTGGTTTACTCTTTCTAGGTTAAGACCTGTGTCTCTGCCCAGCATCCTAGTCCTCATCAGAACAGAGTCTGTCTCTAAACCTTGACCCAAGATGGGGAGGATCTAAAGTCCTTCCTACTTTAGATTGTCCCTTCCTTGGGGCTGGATCTTGTCCCTGAACTCCCATCCTGTGGTCTAATTACAAAACAAATTTCAGAGTCTATATGAAGCACTAGGCTCTCCGTTTACCAGTACAATGTCAGGCAACTTATTTGGTCTCTGAGTCTCCATTTTGTCATCTGGAAAGCATGGAAAGTTATATCTAATACATGTCATCAAATCAGACACATCACAGGTTTTAAGATTCACTAATAGTTCATGCACACTTAGCAAAAACAAACAAAACAACCACTGACAATTAATCCACAATATAAGGTTCTCTTTTGGCATACATTGTAAGATACAGCCTGATCTTAGAGATGCTAACAAGATCTAGTGATCTTAAAGATGTGGTGCCCTAGGATCTACAAAATATGGTAGTTGCAAGGCTGTTGAGAGCTCTAAAAATAAGGACATCTATGAAAAAATACCTTGTGTGGTGCTAGATGCAATTTGGGGACAAGTATCTATTTGTAATTTCTATTATTGTTGCCTTCATAAAAAAAAATTGTGTGAGCCCTCTGCAATTTCCTGGAATGTAGGGTTTGACCTGGACCCTCTGCTGTGTCTTTTTGGCTTCTCTCCACCTATCATCTAGTCCTTTAAAATCGTTGGCAAACATCCACTCCACACCATAAACATATTGGAATTTAAAGTGCTGATTTGTCAGCTGACTTGCTTGGTTGTCCTCTGTTCCTGGGAAGAATACTAAGACCAAGATGACCACAACTTGAGCGTCTGTCTAAGGCCATTGTCCCACCTGCAGACTGAGCAAAGGGATGCTCTGGGCAGGTACTAGATGGGAGGGTTAAGGCCACCATTTGGACTTCTGCCCATCAGGGTTTCTGGTGCTTAAACAGGTGACCAGACAATGACGATGCCTAGCCTCTTAAAGCTTATATGTTTTATGTTTCTGTTTGTTGAAGCACCTGAGAAGAAAGTCCCCTTTGAACAATGACATAGTTGTGAACCTCTTCTGGCAGGAGCACAGGGACAAGGCAGAGCAAGATTTCTGTGTCCCCTTGTCTGCTATTACCCTTATGTTTCCAAGTTACTGCATCAGTCTTCCTGGTAGAGTTCCAGGAGGTGCCTCTTGGTGTGTAGCTTCTCTCAGAATTTCTTCTTGAATGATAAACAAAGAGAACTAGAGTTTCAAAAAACAGCATAAACTGTCCCACTGAGTATTAAAAAACTTACACTGAGTGTACCACCCAACGAAGCACTGGAACCCAGAGTATCTCTGGATTTTGAGCACCCTAGGAAAGATCATGGGACCAGGGCAGGACATCGAGACAGCCCTTCACCACTCCTTTTCCAAGGTCTGCAAAGGGAACAACAAGCTTCTCTATACACTATAAATCCTAAAGCAATTATTAAAATAATGAAACATGGAGGTGTAGCTAAGGAGCCAAATAAGGTAAAATGGAATCATAAAAATATACACAACCCAAAAGAAGGAAGAAAATTAGAGAAAAGAGAATGAAGAATAGATGGGACAAACAGAAAACAAATAGCAAGATGATAGATGTAAACCCAAGCATATTGGTAATCACATTAAATGTAAATGGCTTCATAAGCATAGATATGAAATTATAAACAAAAAGTTATCAAACTGAACAAAAGAATATTTTACAAGTCAGTGAGGGGCAGACAATGGTACGGCGGGAAAATACGACCCTTTATGAGGCAGGCCCATGTGACAAGTGGGTCAGATTTCATACAGAGACCTACCAGAGTATACTCTGGGCTGAGTGAAGTTAGAGGTGGATTGTGGCATTGGGATCCTGTTGCATGCTGTATCTATCTGTCTTGCTCTCACTCATTGAATAAATGAATAAACTGAAAAAAAAGTCAATGAATGCATCATAAGCAAAGTTAATCCAAGAACGTAAGGTGGTTCTTACATTCAAAGTGTGTACATATATATGTGTGTGTGTGTGTGTGTGTGTGTGTGTATGTGTGTGTGTGTGTATAGCTCAATAGATATATGTATGTGTGTGTGTATATACACAATAGATGTAAAAAATAAAAATGACAAAATCTGGTAGTGTGTGTGGAGGAGTGGGGCCTAGGGAAGGTCATTTAGAGGAAGGATACAGAGGAAGACCATTGACAGGACGGGGAGGTGTGGTGTTATCTGTTGAAGATATTTTGATCAACTGGACTGGGGAGAAATGTTCACATATTGAAATGTTCACTTTGTAAGCTAAACAATATGATTTAATGTATATAAAAAATAATAAAATTTTAAAAAAGATTTAATACTGAGATGTATGAGCAAAGCCATGAAAAAAAATTTTTTGATTAAAAGTTCTCTGTAAATTAGGAAAGAATGGAGCTCTGATAGAGGGCATCTATAAAAATCCTACAAGCAAAATGACATTTAATCCCAAAAGACTGATATATTCCCCCTTAAGACTGAAGAAGACAATGATGGCTACTCTTACTATTTGTGTTCAACATTGCGTTGAAAGCTCTAGCACATGTTATATAATCAGGCAAGAAAATGATTTACGAAATCATCCAGGGTGGAAAAGATGAAATAGAGGACCGGACAGTGGCACAGCAGCAAAACACAATGTTCTACAAGGCTGACTCACACCATGAGTTTCCGGGTTCCCATCTGGAGACTTCTCTGAGTATGCGAGGCCTGTCATTGCATAATGGGCACCAAGATGCTTTGGGGGTTGCCATCTCTCAGTCTTTCTTTCTCACACAATAAAGAAAGAAAAAGAAAGAAAGAGAGAAAGAAAGAAAGAAAGAAAGAAAGAAAGAAGAAAGAAAATGATGAAATAGGACTGCCTATATTCACAGATTACATAATCTTTTATGTAGAGAATTCAATGTATTCTACAAAAACTGCTACTAGAATTATTAAGTGAGTTTAGCAAGATAAAAGAATACATTATCAATATCCAAAAATTCTATTGTATTCTTGTATATTCACAACAAACAATCAGAAATAGAAAGTATTTTTAAATGCAATTAACAATAGCATCTACAACATGAAATACTCAAAGTGAGTCTAATGGAAGATGTGAAAGTCATCTATACCAGAAATGATAAAAATCGCAAAGGGAAATTAAAGATCTGAATAAAGGAGAGCTAGATATACCTTGTTCAGTGCTGAAGACTCAATATTGTTAAGATATCAATACTCCTCATTTAACATAGTCCCAACCAAAATTCCAGCAGGTTTTTTTGTTGATGTTTTTTGGGGTTTTTGTTGGCGTTTTTGTGTTTTTGTTTTTGTTTTGTTTTGTTCTTGCAGAAACTGACAGGACTATTCTAAAATTTATATAAAAATAGGATCTCGATCCAGTCAAAGTGGCCTTTGGGGAAGGGTACCACTGCACAATACTGGAGCTATATGAGAGGTTCAAGTTCAGAGCCCACGTCTATCTGAGCATACCAGAATGTCTCCACAGTCCTGTGATCTGGACTGAATGGGAAGCTGGAAGAAGGATCTCGGCATAGTGAGACCTTGACAAGGGTGTGTGTCTCTCTCTTTCTCAAGAAATAAATGTAATTTTAAAAGAGAATGAAAATGATCCACAATAGGGCCATTTTGATAAAGGAAATTAAGATATAGGGATATTAGTATCTTATTTCATTATGTATCTATGGTAAAGAAATAGTGTGATATGTTAATTAGACAAATAAAGGAATAGATCAATGAAACCAGATAAGTGCAGAAATAGACTCCCACATACATGGAAAACTGATTTCGATATTTCTGTTATTAGCAGCAAAAAGTGGACGAAAATACTGTATGATTGCCTTTATGGAAAGTTCTTTTAAAAGTAAACAAATGTACAGTGACAGAAATCAGATCAGTGGTAACCCTGTGTGGGTAGAAGGTCAAGGGGAGGAGGGCTGGAGGAAGACAAGGATTATAAAGCATCATGAAGATCATTACCGTATTGTGGAAATGGTTTTATGGGTGTGTATGCATATGTAAAAACATAGCATTGTACTCATTTTGTTTTTCAAGATAAAGACTTGCTCTGTTGTGATCTTCCTGCTTCAACCTTCTGAGTAGCTGGAACTACAGGGGAGCACCACCACATCTGGTTTTTCAATTTTTTCTTTTTTTTAACATCAGACAGCTGGTAGATTCCTTCAAGATTCAATCTGCTGAACTATGCACCAACATAGTACATGCCTGGCTCTTAGAGTAGGCCAGGAATCAAACCTGGGCTTTAACCAGTGAAGAAGCAGCGTCATACCAGTGTTCACCACCATAATTGGGCCTAAACTTTTGCTCTTCATATATGAAGAGCTTATTGTATACTGGTTATGACAATTTTTTTAAAGTATCCACTGCTTTCCCATCATCAGATTGCAATTTTAATTTTATTCTAAGCCGTTATTGTCACTCACAGACTAGTATATTCAGCCCATATCCATATCCATTATCTTGTCCCATATACTCTCCTCCCACTCCTTTGATGCCCCAGTCACAATGGGCTCCCTTCTCCCTCCAAATCCTTAGTCTTTTATTTTTAGAGAGATCTTTGTTATTGGGCGCATGGACTTGTCAAAGAACAGAAAATGAGAAATCACCCACCAGGAAAGCTGGCCATGCCACAATCCGTTCTCCTCCAGTCTCCTCTCAGGATTTTGGGCATGCACACACACTCACCAGGTGTGAGTTTGAAGCCGCTGAGTCAGGGACTTGAACTGCAGTCAGCCATGTGGGAGTCCAGCAATGTAACCACTATGCCATATACTGGTCCCAGCCCTTAGTCTTTCGCTCGCACTTTCTTCTTCCCCAAGACATTCCCTTACTGGGTTCACAGCTTCAGGGCTCAAACAACCCATCACCTCTGAGAGAGCTTCCTGAAGACACAGGTCACATAGATAGTGTGACACTATTCCTTTCTGGCACAGAAGGTCTGCTTCCTTCATAACAGTTATCACTTTCAAAAACTAGTTGTTTATTTAATCTACTTGTTTACTATCTAACCTCTATTTCCTAAATGCAAATACTTCATGGGTAGAGATCTCCCCTATCTTATTCATTGCTTTATCCCCAGTGCCTCTTGCACACAGTGCCTGGTAGAAATTTAGCAAATATTTTTTGACCGAATAAAGTACTGAAAGAAATCTTGAAAATAGAAACCACTGAAGTGGTGACTTTTCGTTAAATATTAATATTCAGTGCATTTGGGAGAGCTTGATTTTAGAGCATTATCTTTGTATAGTCACACTTAATCCATTCATCTTTCTGACTTTCAGGAATGCTTACTTCTCTCAGTTAACATGCCAAGGTCAGCTTCTTTGACATCTATAAACTCCAGGCTGCATTTTGACTGGGTCCTAATAATGCCCCTCGGGATATTCCAATTTATCAAAAACTCAAGTTTTAAATACAAAAAGTTAGGAGATATTCCTTGTCTAAAAAATGCAGGGCATTTGGAAACAAAATCAAGTATTCTGGTATGTTTGAAGAGTTAGAGTGGAAAGAATAAAAGACATAATCATTTATGCTGACCTATTATGATCTAAGCAAAAACCACTGTGTAAGGTAAATATTGTTTTGTTTCCTTTCTCTGAAGGTGAAAACTGAGGAAGTTAATGACCTTTCTAAATCTCAACTTCACACAGGTAATAAGCAGCAAAACTAAGACTCCAATCAGTCTTCTGACACCAAAAGGAACTGTGGAGAATGGTGTTCTAGTTCTTAAACATTTGCACCCAGAAAGAGCCTTATGTCACTTCTACTCACATTGTACTAGCCAAGTCAAATCGCCTGGCCTTGACAACCAGAGAGATAGAAGGACAGTCACCCACACTCCGATAGAAGAACACAAACACTAATGAGAAGCAGAAATGTCTTCCTCCAGTTTCGGTAATGGAAGACCTTGAGCCTCAGCTGAAGGGAGCACTATTCGCCAGTGTATAGCCATCAAAGACTTGAGCACTTAGTAACATTACCAAAAATTGTGGCTCTATTAAGGTCTAAAACAGAAAGGTCCATATTCTATGAGGACTGCTTTCTTTATTCTTTTTTTAATCTTTTTTTTTTTTTAGAGAGTTTTTTTTTTCTATAGGTCATATGTGCTTGCCAGAGAGACACAGAGAGGTAGACAGAAAGTGAGAAATCACCCCTCAGGGCATATGGCCATGCTGCAATCCCTTCTCCATTCTCCTCTCAGGATTTTGAGCACACATGCACGCGGGCCTATTGTGAATTTCAAGCTGTCAGGTCCAAAACTCGAACTGCTACATGGGAGTCCAGCAACGTGGGAGTCCAGCACAGTAACCATCATGCCATCTGCTGGTCCCATGAGTACTGCTTTCAACCTAGTGGTGTTCATGCCTAGAAGCACATAGGCCTGTATGCCCCAGCACTACATTGAAGGTAAAGGGCACTTAAGACTCACCTCTTCTTCACATAAAGACTTGCACATATTTCTTTGCTCAGCTCCACAGGTGGGAACTTTCTAATCACAACCCCACCTCTAGTCAGTTATTACTGCTGCACACCCCCAGCCCTGCCAAAACATCTTCCAAACAGCTGGAAGGTCTACTTGCTGACTTTGCAAAAGCCTCTCTGAAACTCCTCCTCTCTTACAAAGTGGTTCTGGCGAGTGCTGAGCAATTCATACCAGATGGGATGCATTTACACAGAACCAGACCCAAAGAACACCCATCCCTCTGCATGGCCAGGGGCTGGACAGAAAACTTCGCCTGAAGCTCTGCTTTTCACACTTGGCAGATATAACAACCCTACGTGAGCATGCTTTTGGTGAAAGAGACTGCCCTGATTAAGAAAATATTTTTCAAACAAATATAGTTAGATTTTTTTTTTCAGTATGTTTGGCATTCCCCTCACATACTCATGATCTTGAATCAAAGCCAAAAAGATGTTCTCCAGTCATGTGCATCTTTGAAAGTCAAAGCTTGAATCTGTCCATTTCCTATTTAATTTACGAGAGAAATGTGTTCTGACTATAACCACATGCCAGTTACAGTCATTTCTTCTTCCAGGGTTTTTCTCTGTGGAGTTGAACAATCTTCACATTCAAGAAGATGTTATACTACAGCTTGGGTTTGTTGGGAAGTGGGCTCTGAGATGGAAATTAGCAAGCAGGACACCTAATAGGGACATTCTCTCGAGAACTATAGCTGCAGAGGAAAGGGAAGGACATGGGATAGGGCAAAGGGATAAACCAGGCTGCAGCAAAGTCTTCACTGAAGATTTCAGCTAACCCCACATGGAACTCAGAACTCGGAAAGGCCCTTTAGAGTTACCATCTTGCCGTAACATGGTAGATGTTCATAGTTGCTGAGCCTAGGCTGCTCTAGGAAAGGGGCTTGGCCTTGGGTGAGGCAATTCTCTCCAGCTCAGGGCAATTTTCAGGGAAGGCCAGAAGCATTTCCAGATACTGGAAAGAAAAGTCATTCATTCCTGAAAGGGAATCTGAGTGGTACATTATGGCATCCACTACATATTTCATAGCTATAACCAGAATTCAAGGTTAGTCAGCATGATGTCATGGGGGAGCCTGATGGACCTAAGGGGCACTAGACCAAGTCCAGACTTCAAATTCTGGGTGAGCAACCAGAACTGAGCAATTCAGGCAAGTATTAGGGCCCTGCACCCAGTAAAGATTAGGCCTCCAGCCAGGTTCTTAGCATTTCTGCCCTAAAATTCATTACACACACAGCTCATGTCCAATTTGCAGCCTGAGATGATAAGTGGAAACTGGGAATAAATTTGTCTCACCCCAAAACTTAGTTCTGACTCCATTTCTTTTTCTTTTTCTTTTTACTTTTTTTTTTTTAGAGGTTTTTGCTATAGGGCACATGTGCTCACCAGACAGACAGAGAGAGACAGAAAGTGAGAAATCGCCCCCCAGGGAGGATGGCCATGCCGCAATCCCTTCTCCTCCATTCTCCTCTCGGGATCTCGGACACGCACGCACATGCGCCCAGCGTGATTTTCAAAGCCACCGGGTCCAGGACTCTAACCACAGTCGACTACAGTCGACTACATGGGAGTCTCGCGACATAGCCATTATGCTAACTGCTGGTCCCCTGACTCCATTTCTGAGAGGCAGATACCAACTAACAGAGAGCTCACTGCTCTACACCATCTTGAGCCTTTAAATCAGACCAATTCATCCATGACCACCAACATGGAGAGTAACAGCTGCTCCAGTCCCTTTTAGTTTTCTCAGGACCTTATTCTTATTCCCATATTCAGGCATTTTCCTGGCTTAGAGATTCCTTTTATCATGCTCGCTTCTGAGATCACATGAAGGAAAGTGATTTCCCCATCTGGGATCCCCATTCTCTTTGCTTCCAGCTCCTTATTACTCTTTAATCCTCAGCTCTAGGACATTTCAGGTTATCTTGGGATGCAACCTAGGGAATGCCTGATGTCGTGAGTTGTATTATGTTCCCCCAAAATAATATGTTGAAATTCTAAACACCAGTATTTCATAACATGATCTTATTTGGAAATAAGATTTTACAGAGATAATCAGGTTAATATGTCATTAGAGTAGACCTATGCTAATGGACCGGTGTCTTTTGGAAAAGTAGAAATTCAGATACATACACACATGTGAGCATGGACACAGAGCATCATGTGAACATGAAAGCAGAGATTTGACTGATGCATCCACAAGCCAAGGAACACCAATGATTTCCACAAACCATCAGAAGCTAGGGGGAGTCATAGAACAGATTCTCCCCATCAGCCCTCAGGGGAAACCAATGCATGAACTTGGACTTCTATCTTCTAGAACCATGGGATGTTATGTTTCTATTATTTTATTTGTTTTTAAATAATTATTTGTTTAATTCTATTTATTATTATTATTATTTAATTTGATCAGAGAGAGACAGAGGGAAAGTGAGAAAGCCACCAGGTTGTCTCCCACATTTCTGTTATTTTAAGCCACCCAGTTCATGACACTTTGTTACAAAAATCTTAAAAAACCACATGCCTAGGAACTTTGTCCATTCATGGCCTACATTCTGGTCATCACTCTAGATAGGGCTACCACCAGCCCCTTGGAAAAAAGTGGACTGGATATCACATCAAATTTGCAGATCCATCAAATTAAAGAGGTGACAATAGCACATTAGAAGCTAAGACATCTGCAAATCACGATGAAAAAAAAAAAAAAAAACCTAGGGACTCA